TATATGTGAGCCCTGATGGCCCCCTCATATAATACTGCTCACTTTTTAATTTTGCCTGTTTGGCATTTGTAAGTTTTTTTTTTTTTAAGATTTATTTATTTGTGCACACAAGAACTGGGGTACAGGCCAGAGGTATGGGGAGGTGAGAGGATTCACCAGAGACAGAGTGAGGAACAGAACAGGCAGATTGATGGAAATACACTGCTGAGGGGAGCAGTGGTGAGTCAGGAGAGCATTTGTAAGTTCTAATGCAAAGTCAGTGGTCAAGAAGTTGTTGTTTATCTTTCTCAGAGTAGTACTGTCCCCTTTCCTGCTGACAGAGAAAATCAACAAATCCTCAAGGTAATTCAGGAAAAAAATCAGATGCAGAACACTACAGGGAAGTTCACCTAAATCAAGCACGTCCCGTCAGACACCGAGCAACATCTCCACACACCTGTGCACTCACATGCACACCCATCGTGTGTGACCGGGGTGTTCCTTTGCACAGTTCAGAGTGAATTGCACCCTGTGTGGCCCGGCTGATCCTAGAGTTCAAATGTTCAAGGCCACGTGCTGGTAAGAGCAGAGAAGAGTCAGGCCGAGCAGCCTCTCCTCGCGGTCCTCCTCCCTCCCTCTGCTAAAGCCAGGGGTCCTGGGTGGAGGGTGGCGTGCGGTCCCCTCTGGTGCTGTGCCAACTCCATGTGGAAGAAGGACGCCAGTGTTTGAGCAAAAGCAGGCCTTGATGAGTCAGATCCCCAGTTGTGGGTCAAGTTCACAATTTCCAAAGTGGCCACAGGGGAAGAAACTAATATTGTCTGTGCCCAGAGCAGCAAAGGGCTCCACATCAACCGCCCAGGGCCCCTCCATGCAGGCCTGGCCTATCCTATCAGCATTTGCCTGCAGGGGTCTACAGAGGTTGGCAGGACTGTGCAATCCCTCTTTCCCGACCCCACAGTCACCCGTCCTTCCCTGGTGAGCTTCTCCCAAGACAACGGGAGGCTCAACCGCAGGCCTTTCTCAGAGACACCCCCTTCAGGCCTTCCTGGGCACCTTGCCACATGCACAGCTACCCCCAACATGTCATTTTTTGAAATGATGGTAAAATATGCATAACATAAAATTGTCCGTTTTAATGATGTTCAAGTGTATGATTAAGTGGCATTAAGCACATTGCCCACGCTGCACAACCATCACCACCACCCATTTCCAGGACTTCATCATTCCACACAGAGACTCTCCCCATTAAATAGGAACTTCCAATTCCCTTTCCCCAGCTCCTGGCAACCACCATTCTGCTTTCTGTCTCTATGAACTTGTCTGCTTTCAGCGCCTCATATAGTTGGAACCTTCCAGAGTATGTGTCCTTTGTATTTGACTGCCTTCACGTAGCATGTTTTCAAGATTCATCCATGTGGTCACCTATGTCAGAATTTTAGGGCTAAATAATATTCCATTGTATGTATGTGTCACCTTTTGTTTCTCCATCCACCCACTAATACACAGTTGGCTGTTTCCACAATTTAGCTATTGTGAGTAACATTGGTATGAACATCAGGCGCTTGTTATTCTTACTGCTGTGAACACCCTAATGATTTTGAAGTGGCATGTCATTGCAATATTATATTATATAAGATGTTATATTATGGGCCTCCCTGGTGGCGCAGGTGGTTGAGTGCAGCGCTGTGAAGCTGTCCGTGGACTCTGCAGTGTCACTTTGATCCCGGCCAGCCGGCAAGGGTCCCGCATGCCGCGGCAGACCTCTCCTGTTGTGCCCACTGCTCCCCTCAGCAGTGTATGTCGGTCCGTCTGCCTGCTCTGCTCCCTGCTCTGTTCTGGTGAATTCTCTCACCCTCCTGCGCTTCTGACTGTACCCAGTGCTTGTATAAATAAATAAATCTTAAAAAAAAAAGATGTTATATTATATCAGATATCTTCTTCTGTACCAGAATTTTCAACCTCAATATTATGCCATACACAATGTTCTGAAATGGAACGTTGTTTTTGAAAAATTGATTTGATTAGAATTGTAAGCATTTCTTCATTAATAGTCAACCTCTCAGAATCAAACTCAATAAAATGAGAAGTCTTATGCTTATTAGAGAAGACACATGGAATTTGATTTTTAACTCAGAGGTTATAGCCCTTGTCAATATATAAGTGTCTCCAAACTGATCATGTCTGAGCTGTCTTTTGGGTCAAAATGGTATGAAGTCAGGGTTGGAGGTTCGGGACAAGCTGGGGGTAAAAAAACAAAGTGTGAGATAAAATCCTGAGATCTCCAGCCTCTGCTTATCTTCCTCCAGTGACAGAGAGCTCACCACTTTACCAAGACAGCCCATTAGCCTGTCTCATCCATGAGTAACTCCACTGATTAACAAGACCCTTCTTCTGTATTCTAAGCTCGTCATCCTGAAGGTTCCAACTGAACCAATTCTTCCTTGATCTCTCTCAGGGGTGCGGCAGCTCTCCCGGGCCCCAAGAATCCCCCTCAACCTCCTGGCTGGGGTGTCCCTTCCCAAGACTGCACACCCCCTCTGAGGACACAGAACTCACCAGGCACACTCTTACCCAGCTCCTAGCCAGCCCCCCAACCCCCCACCTTCCAAGAAGCCTTACACAGATGAGGCCAGACTCTCATTGATCTGCTGCCTTTGGGAGAGGAAGGATTTCAAGGCTGCCTCACCACAGTCTGAAACCAAAGCCACTTCACACGCTGGGTCGTGAACACAGAGCACTCATAACTCCCAAGAGAAGACATGGGAGGAAAAAGAAACAGCCTGGAAATGTTGAGACAGATTTATGGAGACTGAGTCATAAGGGCTGCCCTGTCTTTGGCCTTCAGAGAGACAGTGTGGGAGGACCTTTCTCCAGGTGGCTTAATTCCTTGTCTTGGCCTCTGGAGATGGGCTTTCTGATAGCTGAGCCGGTGGGTTCCCAGACAGCACCTCCCTGAGCGCCAGGCACAGAGTTCCTGGGTACTGAGATGATGGGTGTGTCTCTCCACAGCTTACACCACTAGTTTTTCTGTTATTCTTTTCTGTCTTGATAAAATAAAAAAAAAATCTCTGATGTTTATACAATAGCAGAAACAACAGAAGCATAATACAAATTTCACAATCTCCAGAGCAGATTTTCCATAATTTTGAAGGCTCCATGGGGCTGCCTGGGCGTGCTTTGGTGTGTTAACTGTGGATACTAAGAAGGGTGGGGAGTGGGGAGCGGGGGGGCATAGCCTGCCCTGCCCACCATCCTACCCCAGGGTTGGGCGGAATGGAATCCTCCTTCTGGGCTCAGGAAGGAAGGGGTGACAGTAATGGCACACCTGCTGTGCGTCAGGTCTGGAGCCATAATCTATAATCCTGTCTAGCGATTACTCACTTGTTAGTTCTCAAGCCAGAGCAGCCACCCTGTCCTAAGCGGCGTCTCACTCTGTCTTTATAGCACTCCTGGAAAGCGGGTGCTGGTTTGCATTGTCCTCTCCTAGGAGAAAAATGAGGTTCATAGACATGAAGTGCTTTCCAAGGCCCATCACGGGAGGTAGCAGAAAAAGCCCTGCCCAGTCGGCGCAGAGCCCGGCCTCCCCTGCCCCTTGACCCCTTGACCTTGGGGCAACAGCGCAAGGCTGGTTCTGCTGTCCCCATTTCACAAATAAAGAAAATGGGTCCGTGAAGTGGTTAAATGACTGCCAGACCGCAGAGCTAGGACGCATCCGGGGCGGGAACAGGCACCGTCTCTGGACCTCAAGAGAATTCTTTCTTCAGAAAGAATGTAGTGGAGGTGAGGATTCTCCAGCGACCATTTCAGGTTCAGCATCCCGTGCCCTTCTGGGTCACCTGGCCGGGCCCCACGTGGACCACACAAGGCCACACGCCCCGGGAAACCGGCCCGCGGGAGGTCCCGCAGCCTGGGCACAGCGCGCGGCTCGCCACTAGGGGGCGCCCTCCCCCGCGGGCGGCTTTCCGGCCATTCTGGGCGGCCACCGTGGGGAGCCTGGGGACCCAGACCTTGCCCGGGAGTCGCTCTCCTGGAAGAGCTGGTGGACAAGCGAGGAAACCCACGGATATGGAAAAATAATCGCAGCGCGGGGAACTCCTGGAGGGTAACAAGCAGGGAGAGGAGAGAATAATGGTGGACGGTGGGGTGGCCGGGCCTCTCCCACAGATGGCTTTTGAGTTGAGATCAGAAGCAAAAGGGACGGACTGTAGGATGCGCTGGGAAGAGGGTGCTTTGTGCAGCAAGAGCTGCAAGTGCAAAGGCCCTGCGACATGAAAAATGCTAAGGAATCTATAGGCCAACGTGGTCAAAGAATCAGAACAGGAAAGTAAAGCAAAAGCTGGCATTTCTCAACCATGGCTGCAGGCGAAAGCAGCCCAGGGGGGCACCCTGGCCGTCCTCCGCGCCTGCCCTCTGCAGCCCCCCGTGTGACTGACCAGGTCTGTCCCCACTGGCGCCCCAGGATCCCTGTGCACGGGGCGCCGGCTCTGTGTGGAGGGGATTTACTTCCTTACGGCCCTCTGCCCCTTGCCATTCCCACCATCCTTGGACCCCAGGACTGGTGTTTCCCACCATCCCTTGGACCCCAGGACTGGTGTTTTCCCCACTGAGGATTCCCAGAAAATCTCAGGACTTCACTCCTGTCCTTGGACACAGGGGCTGGGGAAGAGGAAGGAAATTCTCACACACAGCTCACTCCCAGGGAATTTGCTCCTGTTCCCAGGCTGACTGGCCGTCCTCAGACTCCGTCCCCCTCCGCCCCCCACCCCTTCCCTCCCCTGCCCTCCCCTCCCCGCCTTCCCCCCCCTCCCCCCCTCTTTGCCCTGCCTCCCCTCTCCCCCTACCCCCCTTCTCAGGCTTAATGACTTCCACATGGGCCTCTGGCGGCTGGAGCCAAGCCTCCCAGCATTGTCTGAAATCTCCAAATTTAGAAGAAATATGAAAATTGTCAACCACTCCTTCCTTAGGGGGTAAAAGCAACATTCGGCACTGGGGGCAGGTCAAGGCGAGGCGGTCACGTGGCGAGTGCCCGGGCCAATGGGGGGCCCAGAGAGGACTCAGCACCCGCCTCACCCTAACACCAGGCTGGCCTCTTCAGCTCATATAAGGTAAAAGGCAGAAGGGCCTCTGCGGCCAGGGAGTGTTGGGCAAGGGTCTAAGAGGAGGGGGACCCGGTGCCAGCGGTTTAAAAATGCTTCTGTGGCAATGAGGGCTACCAGAGGCCGGGTCAAGTTAGTTGAGAAGCAGTGACACCCCAACTGTCCCCCAAATGGGCTGGCCCCCATCTACGGACTGCAGGGAGCCATTCCTGGACCAGACCTCCAGAAAGGTAAGAACCACGTGGGGCCTATGAATGGGGGGGGGGGCCTCTCTGGCATCCTCCCCAGGGGGAAATTGGATTTTTTGGTGGGGGGGTGGGGAGTTGCCTGATCCTCGCTCTCTTGCTAACCTGCTCTGTGCCTTCTGCCTCCCTGGGCCTCAGTTTCTCCATCTTTACAGGGGCTGGACTGGATGATCTTTAATTGCCCACCCTACCCCACCAGAACATGCAGGATCTGTGGTCCTGTTGGCATCCAGGACTCCTGTCGCTGTGGTTAGACAAGGGCCAGGGCAGAGTTAATCTTGCCAGCCGAGCTTCACTGTCAGACCTGAGTCTGGGTCCATCTTTGTGACTTCTCTATAGATGTTTCTTCCTTGTTCTATGAGGTTTTGATTTCACAGCTCCAAGAGCCTGGGGCTCCTGGCAAGGAAAACTGTTTTCAAATAATAGATTCAAGAAGCAAAACTGGAAGAGAGGCAATGTCAGAGCAGGCTCCAGCACACAGCAGAGAAGCGGGAAGCTCGGGTGTTGGCTGGCTGTGGCGGAGGGATGGGCACACTGGCTGGGCAATGAGGGGCTCCAGCGTCACCTGGGCCAGTCGGACAGGTGCCCTCCCTGTCTGGGTCTGTTTCCCCGACTGTATGAGGACACCATTGGACAACGTGGTCTCTGCAGGCTGTGGCTTCTGAGCCCTATTTGAGCCTAAAGGGCAGTCAGGGTTGGGAAGTTCCCCCAGGAGGCCCTGAGCTGAGTCTGCCCCTTGACCCTGGGCTTAGCGCCCACACACATGGGCAGGTACCCGAAGTTCATGGGAGTTTTGGGGACATGGGGGGGTGAGGGTCTAGTGATAGAGAGGGAGTAAAGGGCCTCTAGCTGCAGGCCAGCTGGAGGGGTACAGGCCCAGCCACTGCGACACAGACTCTGGTAGGGAAGGGCTGCCCTCTGGATCCAGAGGTACAAGGCCTTGGAGAGAGATGGGAATGGAAAAGACAGCAGAGGGTTCTCGGCTGCAGTGGTGGGGACACAGCAGAGGGTAGGGGACTGCCTCATAGGCGGTAGGGTTGGTAGAAGCAGAGGCCTCGGTTCCAGGCTGGAAAATGCCCAGGCACTGTTACTCTTCTGAGCTTGTTCTGCCCTCATCTGGGGCCCAGAATGGACACAATCCTCCAGCACAGGCCTGCCAGCACCTCGCCCCCGCCCTGGTCACACAAGACCCAAAGCAGTCATGGCCCAAATGGAGACTTGGGAATTCAGCTGCCTGGGTCCAACTCTAGGTGGTTGCCTTACCCGTAACAGGTGACCCTGAGCAAGTTCCTTGCCAGCGCTGAGCCTCAGCTTCCTCCTCTGTAAAATGGGTATTGTCTTGGCTCTGCCTCCCTTAGCTGTCATGAATCGTCCTGAGCAGTCGGGGACATGTGCGCCTAAGAGCAGGGTGAACAGGGTTGGTGTTACTTTATGATTGGATCCCACTCCTCTCCGGGGACAAAAAGCCCTGGGCTATGTTTAGAGAGTGACCTAGGAGTGAGATGCAGCCGCCGAGCATCCAGTGTTGCTGAAATGAGAACAAGATCCAAAAAGAAGCAAGATGGATGAGTCCAGAGATTGGAATTTAAGGGGCACAGAAGAAGAATCCATATGAGATGCTGGAAGGGCTAGATGAGGTCTCCTTTTTTTTTTAAAGATTTATTTTTATTTATACAAGAGCTGGGGTACAGGCCAGAGGTGCAGGAGGGTGAGAGGATTCACCAGAGACAGAGTGGGGAGCAGAACAGGCAGACAGACCGAAGACACTGCTGAGGGGAGCAGTGAGCGAGACAGGAGAGGTCTGCCGTGCCATGTGAGAATGTCCCTGGCCGGCCAGGAATCAAACCTGTGCTGCAGAGGCTGCGGACAGCTTCACAGTGCTGCGCTCAGGTCTCCTTTCCTGCACCGTTAGGATGTGGGTGTGGACAATGTGTCCAAAGCACCGTGTCTGAACCACAGCACAGTCATCTGTGACAGGGGCTCTTAGGTACAGCCCAGAAATCTGCATTAGCCCCTACGAACACCCGAGCCCCCTAGAAATTCCCATGCATGAGGAAGTTTTGAGAATACTGTGCTGTGAACAGCCTGGGACCTCAGAAAAGACAGCTGAGGCCCTGAATCCATAGAACTCAGCCAACTGATGGCCAAGGTGGAACAGACCCAGCCCAGGACTCTAGCAGGGTGCAAATAGAATGATGTTGCTAGCATGATGCCACAACCACCCCGTGAGGTGGAGGCAATCCTTATCCCATTGCACAGATAAGGAAACCGAGACACAGGGAGGTTGAGTACTGGCCTACTCATGCATGTCGTGAGTTGTTAAGCCTGGAAACTACACGTGTGCTGGCTGCTGCCGCTGCTCTAAACCCTGGAAATCTCCTGCCCAGCCCCTGGGCCACCCTGGAGCTTCCCGGGTTTGTAAAAGGGGATGGAATATGGGTGGGAGGCACCCCATGGGCCAGGTACTGGGCTGAGTCGCTTGCATTTTTAGTTACTCCCGAATTACTGTGAGGCCAGCATCAGCCTCATTCAACCACCCCAAATTTACAGGAAAGGAAATGCCTGTAGTTAGAGTGGCAGAGGGGAGATGAACCCAGTCAGTGGCTCTAAGACACATGTCTGCCACTGCACCTCGGAGAGCAGCGAGGAGGGGGCCCACTCCACGCTGACCACCGAGGCTAAGAGGGTGGCCGTGCCGGAACTTGAACTCAAGTCTATCAGTTCCAAGGCCCTTCTCTCCTTTCAGCCCCGCCATTGCCCGGACAGATAGTTTGCTTGCACGGCTCCCGGGGAGCCACACCGCAGCTCTCCAGGCAAAGTCAGCCCTTTCCCAGTCTGGCCAGTTCCGGGGAAGAACTGACACACACCGTCCTCGGGAATAGAAAGGCCCAGGCCCTGCGCCTGCTCTAAGCCTCGGGGCTGCGTGGTTCCCTGCGGTAGTCTTGAGGGGCTGGGAGAGGTGGGCTGCGAGGCGCTCCCCATCTGGCTAAGCCAGGGCCAGCCCCTTCTGCAATTTTCCAGCAAAACACTCCTCAGGGGTCATGTGAAGAACCATGATAAAGGCTGTTCCCGATCATTGTTGGTATCTTGTCTACAGCCCGTGGTGCACAATGCCAGAGTTCCTCCTGCTTGGTGGCTAGAAAGGATTGTGGAGTTCTGGGGTGCAGGCCTTGAACTTTACAGGGCACACAGGTGACTCTCTAAAGCGACTGAACCAACTTACACTCCCGCCGGCAGTGTCTGAGGGTGCCCTTACTTAACAACACTCGAAATGATCAGATTTCTTGAAGCCTTCATGTTTATTTGGCAAGCATCAGATTTGTTTCATAAAAGAATGTAAGGAAGAAATAAGTAAAAATGTTGCTACACGCCTGTCCACATGGGTATATAGAAATTTGCCTTCCATGTGTCACATGGCAGGGAGCCCAAGCCCCTGGGGGAGCGGGCCCTGCCCGAGTGGCTGTGCCCCGTGCAGCAGCGGAGGCCAGGGTCCAAGCCAGGGTCGCCGGAGGGGTGATCTGCAGGAATTCAGGGGAAAGAACCCACAGTGGCTGCCACCTCCTAATGGCCTGTCTAGACAGACCCCACAGGACTTCACCACACACACGCAGGCAAACAAACACACACACACACACACACACACACACACACACACACACACACAGAGAGAGCCAGAAATGCAGAGGCGGCCCCTCCTCTCTTGCTAAAGAGGCTTGTTGGCAGCAACATTTCCCCACCAGAAACCTTTTCTCCAATTCCAATCAGGCATCATTTTGTTTGGATTAGGAAACCTGGCTGATCCGTGAGCCAGAGGGCATGCAGATGTGGGTGCATCCCTCTGCACAGGTAACGGGGGAGCAAGGGCCCCAGCACTGCCTCAGTGGGCTGGGGTGCTGCAGCCTGGCCGTGGAAGATGCTGGTCAGAGTCAGACTTTGATCATCAGATCTGCCTGTGGCCGTGATAATAGAAAGTAGCTGTCTTATTAGGTTATTGAGTTGTCTGGATTAAGGGAGTTAAAACTCAGGAAGCCCTTAGAACAGTCACCAGCACATTCTAAGAACTCAGTAAAAAATGACTACTAAAGTGTGAACGCTAAAGGCAGCTTCTTCTGGAGGGAAGGCACCATCTGGGGCTCCAAGTCCTCTCTCCAGCCAGGAGGTAAAGTGCCCCGTTCCTTCGACAATAGCAATTGCCATAGATCAAGTCTCCCCACGTGCCCGGCCCTTCACCCAGTGCTCTCTGAAGTAAGTGCCATTATCCCTCTGGGAACCCAGAGGCGCAGGGAGGTTTAGCTTTTTGTGCAAAATCCCTCTGTCAGCTCTGAAGAGGCCAAAGTGGGGCTGCAACCCAGGCCTGGCTGATGTCAGCACCTACACACTTACACCCCAACGAGTCTGCACCAGAGCCAGCTTCTGGTTTTACCCTGAGCAATAAGACCCACTTTTGACATTTGGGGGAGGGGGTACTTGAAGCCTGATGCACCCTCCCAGATTAGGCCCCCTTAAAGCCCCATCGGTCCCAGGAGCCCCTTCCCTGCCACAGCCCAGTGGAGATTTGAGGAAAGGACTTTCAGAGGAAGCAGTCCCGCCCTGGCCCCTACCTTAGAGCCCACACCAGCAGGGAACCCTCTGCAGGTTCCTTCTCTGACTGCAGTCTTGCTCTGAGGGAGATGGAAAGCCTCAAAGTGGACAACACACTGTACCCTGTCAGCTTATCAGGGTCCTGCTCGCTGCCACTGGGGCCCACCCCACACCCTCTGCCTCTGTCTCTAGGGAAACAGGCACAGGGTAAAGCGTCCAGAGGGAGGCTGCCATCGCTGGGTGGCATCCGTTGTGGCTAAGAAACCACCCCGACCGGGCTGCCAGGCTCAGAAGCCACTGGTTAGCCTGGTCAGAGCCCATGAAGGACATCTGAGGGAAGTGGAAGACGATGGGGAGAAAGGGAAAGAAACAGGCTAAGACTCTGGCCCTGGCTGTGCAGCGAA